GGAACGGGTCGGGGGGGGGGGGGGGGGAGCGCGGGGGGACCCCACAAACAAAACCCCAGAACTGCATCAAAAATACTGAGAAAACCTTTCTGCAGTACTACACACACAGCAGACAGAAATACCACCTGAATTTCTGCTACCTAGAACCAAACACATTCTTGATGCCATGGCTTGGAAGAAACGAAAGCATTATGTCCTTCACTGAAATCTTAAGTGTTATTTTAAATAATCCAAATGTTACTTCCCTGATTACTTTCACCTGATCAGCAGGGTTTTCAATGATAATCTAGTCTGACTGCCATCTCTTGGTCTTCATTGATTTCGTAGGAACCTGGGAATACGCTCACTTTGCGTATATGACCTTGACCATATTTTCTATAAACTCACGGATGAAGGCATGTTTTAAGATTATGCAAGAGATCCAGGAATGCAAGAGAACATTAGAAACAGCTTTGCAGCCGAGATGAGTAGGTTTGTATTCAATAGGACAGGATGAACCTTTCTGGCATGCAAGGATGCACTTTGGTGACCAGAGAAGAACTGATTTGGCAGTTCCATCTTCAACACACTTGATTTAAAATTACTTTCACTGGCAGTCTGTCACCTCCCTGAGCTGTGATGAACATAATGCATATGGGACATTAGGATTTTCCTGGTGGCCTGGACTTAACAGCCTCTTTTATCTTGCAGGCCACACGAAGCACACGGATGCTACCCATCTTCGTACCAACTCCTCAAATGCCTCTATGGGAACAAGCAAAGGATTCCAACCTATCTAACAGGAAACAGTTGAATATGATTATTGGTATGAAAAAAGCAGAAAGCTGTAATCTGTAGCAATCCAAGTCATCTTATTTTATGATACTACTACCTACACAAAGTTAGAACAATACCTCTGCTAGTGTACCAATCTTGGAATGTTTCAAATGGAACTGTGCTCTTTCTTACAAAACAATCATCTTTACTGATAGTCACATTGCCACTTTATGATCAAGCTTTATTAAAAGGATATCATGCAAAAAATATATCTAAACATTAAAGCCACAGCACACCTGATAACTCTTGTTTTACAAATGAGAGCACAGCCAAGTAGACTTGACAGTCTGCTACAATTATTTGTCTTTGTAGACGATCTATCATGGATAGAGTGGATTTTCGTCCATCAACCTGTTTGGAATATACAAACAGAGAACACAGAAAAATGTTAACAAAAATAATACAGAATACTAGTCTAAATCTGACAACTTAAAAAAATCCAAAATTAACTGCAAGTGGTAGTATTGCTACTAAATTGACTCAGCATTTTGAAGTGCAAAACTATGCTAAAATTTCTTTGACAGGTCATCAAGTAACATCCTACTAAATAAACAGGGAAATCTTACACATATACTATCAACTATTTTTCTTAAGATTCTACAAATACTCAGAACAGATTTAAATTTCATTTAATTACTACTAAATGCATCAGACATACAACTAAAAGGTGTTAGATAGGAAGAGCCCAGACAAGGGTATATGAAAAGTGGCAGGGAAAATACAGTGCCTCTGAAGAGCAGAGTTAAGTATGTAAGATTCAATACTTTTCACCAAGTAAACTAAATATTGAAGAGAAATAGCTTCTTCTTCTGCTGTAGATCTGCTATGTCACACTAGGCACGTCACTCACTGGACATTTCTATACTACTACTTTAACTAGTTCTCAATCTGCATGCTTTATTCTTCCTTCACTATTTAGAATGAAACACCTAAAACAGGAAGGAAAATTCCCTAGGAATGCCTGGCACACAGCACTATGCAGCCTCAACATCACAACTTTTGAATATTATGAGAGCATGTATGAATTAAAGTTAGCTTGAATTAGACAGGCTACAAGCTTCCTGAAATAATTTTAGTAGATCACTAATTTGAGGCCTTAAGAAAGTAATTGCTAACATCAATACAACCTGCTGCTTTAGAAGAGGAATTACCTGACTCTTGAGTATTTTATAATTAGGAAGTCCAAGCAGAACATTTGACTTAATTTCTAAACTTATTATTAATCTCAACTGCTCTTCACATATGAAAAATCACCTATTCAAAACACAAAGGTGACAGAAAGGAAGTTTCCAGAAATATTTATTGAATATACAATCCCATATTTTACAAATAATATTCTTACATTCTTTTTAATTTTATTCTTGATTGTTTCTATAACTCCAGCTTCTTCACTTTCACAAAGTTTCTCTGTAGCCTTTAAGTCATCACACGCCAGCTGCATTTTCTCTTCTTCAAATGTCATCATGGCATTCTACCAAAACACAAACAGATCTGAATGATGAAAATCACAAATATTTTTATTTCTACAAAAGCTATGGGATAGTAAAAGTTTTCATAAAGACTTGGCAATAAAATTTACTTTAAAAAAAAAGTATTAATACACACACACATCAGTACACATACTTCTACACAGAAACACCAAGCTAGAGATTTGAGAGTGCTTTACCAAAATTTCAAGACAAATCAGAACATACTAAGTCCTACCCTTTGTCTTAAAGCTTCATATGCAGTCAAACTGAATGCGCTTTCACATTACGTTAAGGGGAATAAGAATTCATATAAATTAATTTTCAGTTATTGTTATGTATGACATTATTCACATCTGTGCAGATACTGCTTTTATATAATTCATCCATATAAATAGCAGGCCTCCAAAGTCAATAACAAATAACAGCTATTGCATTTTTCAAAATAACCACAATTTCTACATATATAGGAAGAAAAAAAATGCATCCAACTACTGCTGAACCAATTTAGAAAGAATTTCAGGACAAGTAACTTCTTTTCTTGATGCTTTATTAAACAAAAGCTCTGAATGACACAGGCACACAAAGTGCTGCTGCTATGTTTAGAACAGTAGCTAAGCAAGATATTTTCAAGATCCACTGATGCTGCACTGTGATGTTACACTGGTTCAGCACATCAATTCAGATAAGCAAGCCTGAGAGATTCTCCCTCTTTCCTTTCTCCTCTGCACTGACTTAAAAGCAAGCATATGCCCCAGGAGATTTCCTAACCAATATATTTTTCCATATTGCATAGTCTACAGACACTAGAGATAATTCAAATTAATTTCATTTACAACTTATCTATTTCTGGCATATTGTAATAAATTCTGTTTTTAAAAAGAGTATTACCATAGATAATTTCTGGTGCGATCTAAGATTAAGCAGCAAAGTCAGAATAAGGACAGTCTAAAAAACAAGATCCAAACATTTTCTAATACACCTGCTCAGTTTTTATATAAGATATTCTCACTTTTAATACATTAAAAAAAAAAGGAGGCATTTAACAGACCTAACTTGCTCATTACAACTCTTCAGTCAGTCAATATTCTCAGTTCTCATATACTCAAAAAGGAAGCAATGTGAATGGATTGAATTAACAACTTTCCCCCAGCAGTGTGGACGGAGAAATTTTCAATACCAAAAGCTATCAAGAAGATGGTATTTATGAGTGTTATTTTAATAATACCTCTACTACTCATTTAAGAGATGGTTTTATTATGGCTTTTTTAATGGAACACATAAATATTTCATACATTTGAGAAGCTGAATCACAGAACCTTTACTTTCTATTTAAACCACATGAGTAAACAAGTTTTATATAACATGACTTGTTTTCTAGCTACATTTACTCTAAAAATTTGAAAAAAATTAAGTCTCATAAAAAGAAACAAATTAGAGTATCCAACTTTATGAACACATGCGTGTACATACAAACATTAACCACAAGAGAAAGAGATGTATAGTCTCTGCTCTTGTCTACTCACCAAAAAACTGACAAAACTGGCTCCAAAACTCATTAATGGACTATGGTTTCTGTAAAGAAAACAAAATGTTGTTACTATTTTTGCACCTATTTCCTATCATAAAAAATAATATTGCATTTCTTGATTTTAACTTATACATCTGTAAATAAATCATGGTGGTTTTGTATCAAGCTACAAACAAACATATCATTCTGCAAGATATAAGGGAAACAGAAAGCCAAAAGCTTCATCAGTTTTACTAAGCTGCATATATCTTAAAATAATTTAAGAGAAACCACTGCCATCAAAATACATTCAGTGCAGGTCAAAAAAAAGTAAGAGAAGAGGAGAAGAAAATTAAAAGTCTGCTAATTCTACTCTTCTCTTGTGATCCATCACTACAATTTTGACCTAGCAGACAAATGTTAACTGGTTCTATTAAGAGATTCCACTTCTCCCTGTTCCCATAAATTTAAGTTAATCTACCTGAATTTTAAAAAAACATGCATATGCCACATAACATAAGTTGTTGGAAATACAAAGCTCTTACAAGGCTTATGGTTTTATAGCTGCTTTGTTTCAAGTCCAGGATACATATCTTACTATACCATGTGGAAAAATTTTAAGATGCTTCACCTACTCTGTTTGCAGGGGTATTCCAAAAGGGCAAAGTTAACTGCAAGATCAAAAAAATGCAGGCAAGCAAAATCTTAGTAATATACGGGACAGGTTTCAAGGTTCAGGACTACCGTAGTCACACAGACCATGAGGCTCCAGTAATGTCAAACAGAAGGCACTTAAAAACAAATAAAATTTCAGGATCTCAGCAGTACTACTGATCCACACTGTTCAGCAGTGGGTTGCCAGGTTATATAAAAACACTGACTTCCAGGATTTAAGAAGAGGTAACATTTATGCTACAGGTACATATGTTGCTATAGTATAGTACTTATGCTGTTTCCAGCTTAACTCTGCAAGCATCAGATTAGAGTTTTAAAATAGGACAGGCACTTGAAAAACATGGAGAAAGTAGTATATCATTTATTACAACACAAATTTCCAGTAATAAACCCATATTAAAATATAAGGGTTTGTTATTTTAAAATAAATTTTAAAAAGGTACCCATCTATTCCCCACCACCACCTTTTCTCACTTTTTGATTTAGCATAAATATCTAAAAGCAAGGATGTGAACAAGAAGAAAAAGAAAGAAAAACAGGGAAGATAAACAAAGCAAGTTAGAAAAACTTTCCCTTTTTATATACATCGCTCAATTCTGGATGTACATATAAATGTAAGATCAACATAACTTGCCACATTTTTCATTATTTTTTCAAAAGAAAAACAGGTTAGGTATTTTCCCCTTTGTTGGCAGGCCAACAAAGAACAGCTGCCAGTAAATGCCTCTGCTATTCAGTACCTGGACTGTTCTCTACCAACAGCTGTGTTACACAGAGCAGCAGCAATCAGCTACACAAGTTATACTTGCTGCAGCTGGCACTTTCAGCATGAACTCCTGCTGCAGAGTGCACATGGCTATCTCATAATCCACTTTTCAACCCCTGAGGCATGTGGGACCCATTCAGCAGCCAGTCTTATCACCATAGTCCACAGCACATAACCTTCACCATGCATTTCAAGGTCACACCTACTGCATTATCGACACCCAATGGATCTAAAGCTGCAGAACAGATCAGCACAAGAAATTTTTATGCTTATATCCTTATGCACAAAGTTGTACTTACATCACACTTTCCAGGAAGCTCAAAAATAAACCAAATATTTCATTTTCTAACTTCCTTTGATCTACATACACAGAAAGCAGTTCCGGGGAGGCAACCGGGCAGGCATCTCTAGATAATCAATCTTTCATACTGAAGGCCGTTCAGAACGGAAAACTGTCAGAGAAAGATTGTTTATCAGAGTGAATGAAAAGTAGCCAACCACAACAGTGTTTGACTATAACCAGAAAAATAAAAATACATGACACAAGTAATAGTTAATTAGGTCTGCACTTCTCAAGATGATCCTTAGAACTCACTTCCTGAATATTAAGTTTCCATCCACACGGACAATGTTATGTCACTACCACACATGGATCCAAAGTTATTTCGATGGAGTAACTAAAATTCGAGCATCAGAACACCTGTAAAAAATGTACTTGTAAATTTGGTAAGTATTACACTCTTATTAAAACTCCACACAACAGGACCAAAATTTTGAGGTGTTCCGCCCTCCCCCCCCGAAACATGCATAAGCAAATCAAATAAGCTAGCAACATATGCATTTGGCTTTCAGAAGAAAGTAGCATCCAGGCATTCCTTAGGACGTGGCAAGAAAGATGCGAGTTTTATCAGCAAAACATAAATACAAATCAAATACTGTGGAATTATAGAATAAATGGTAAAAGTGTTGCATATGAAAACATTTTTAAGTTCTAGACTACTTTTCATTTTCTATGAATTTATAAAAAAAGATCCTCCTGTTGTAGAAATAGTTACCGAAGCTTTAAAAAAAAATAAAATACATCAGCTTTAGCAGTAAACTGATTCCCTGTCTATGGGAACAATATTTTCAAATAGAGCAACTTGAATAATGGTCATGTTTGGGAGTGAAACCACTAAAACTGAGTAAACAGGAATACAGTTGAGAATCAAAGAGCATATATATGCTGTTTCAGCAGCTCAATATATATGCTAATTCAGGCATGTTATTCAAACAGTTTTAAAAATTTGGTTTTCTTTTCAGGATTTTAAAAGCCTGTTAAGTGTGCGCATATGTATGTGTAGCAATGTTTAAATACACATTTTGAAAGCCTTTATATTTCTTTTTGGTAAATTTTAATACAATGTTAAAAAATGAGGCAGCTAGTTACAGGTGAGAGCCAACTGCTCTTCCAAGATTACTAAAGACACTGAAGCACTTACTGCAAGCAATGAAAATTTGTCCAAGTATTTTTATGTATATTTGTCCAAGTAAAACTGAGAAGTTTTTTTCCCCAAAATATTTATATTTTCAACTGATCTTTCAAAACTGCTTGCCCACTTGCACTCTGACACTCACAGCTCACTTTGTTTACAATTCATCCCCCATGATCAGAGGGGACAACAAAAAACTTGAGCGCCACATCACTCTTCTGAAATTATCACTAGCTGTAATACATGAAGTAAAATGTTGCAGATTAATTCTCTTTAATTTTCAGTCACTCAATCTATAAAAAGCATTGCCATTACAGCAATACAGGCTGTAACACATAAGGACCCTGAAGCAAGAAAACATAATGCATAATATTATAGTATGCCTGGGAGATGCTTCCGTTGAGACCATGGAGTTTGGCAAACAAAACATGAAACCTCTACTGCAGGAGCTCCTCACACAGAGTTTGTGTCGTCGCTAAACAAAATAAGGAATGCTTCTACCACATGCCTATGTAAGTCACTGGATAGAGACTATATAGTTGCAGCTTTATGCAAGATCCTTTTTAAGGTAATTTCAGCATTTAAAATCCATTTTAAACAACAATCATGTTTAGTGCTCAGTTTCTGCAAATATTATGTTGATTGATAAATTCTTCAACAGTTTAGGGTTATCTTTTCCTCAAGAGCTAGGGAAAAGGTTTGCAATGGCACAGTACTATCCCAATAAACACTAAGGCATGAGTAATGATGACAGTAAGTTTCTGAGCAAAGCACAATTCCATGAAAATAACCCTTGGCTCAAACTCTTACTTATAAGTGACCTTCAGCATCAGACACGATTTTACATCTTTTGACAAGTTCCAAAAAGTTGTTAAGATACAGAAAAATGAGGCAGCACTTGAGAAACTACTAACAGCAAACCAATGGCCATATTGATGTTGACAGGATTTATGGAACTGAACACAAATGAACACTGGGACACTGCAACAACCCAAGTTTTCCTCACTACTTTGAAGCCATAACCTCCATTAAGTAAAGAAAAATCTCAAGACTTTTAATTAGCTCAGAGATGAAGAAAAATTCAGTCTCCAGACATATTTTGTAAAATACTGTTTGCACCTCACCTATCAAACTAGGACTCAGAAGATCTCTTCATTATAAGAAACTGTGCTATTAACACCATTTCTACAAGATACGCAGTAGGTTGTAGATGTCAATACAGTTGGTATGTATAACTAAACATAAGTCATAAGCTCAAGAGCACTGAAGTAGACTTTCTTCCAGGTATATAAACTGGTGTTATATCAGACATTGCTTCTCCCAATAAACCCTGACTAATTCACCTCATTTCATAGCATACCTTTAAGATGTTAATTCACTTTCAGAAGAAAGGTGTTTGCCATGCCCCATTTTCACATATGATGATAACATTCAGGAGTTTTAAGCCTTGGTTTAATAAGGCTGAGATAATGCAGCCCAATTTTACCATAAGAAAATAAATCAGAATTGAAGCACATCAAAAGAAAAATCAATTACTTATCAGCATTTTCTTTTTTTTTTTTTTAACAGCCATTTCCGCCATAGTATTTTGCTGCCAAATACATCAATTTCTAGAGCTACTACAGCCTAGGCTCAGGTTTAAATTTAAGTAATGTAATTAACCCACCAACACTTCCTCCCTGCTTTCCTAGGCACCGCTACTTTAACCATGGTCCACTAAGAATCATCACACTAATAGTGATGCTGAAGTTGAAACAAAACAAATTATTTTCCTCCAAAGTGGGAGAGTAAAGTGTAATGAAAAATTAAAAATTCATTTAAGTTTACAGATAAATATAGAAGCAGATACTGAATACTTTAAAACAAGCAGAAATACATATAACCTACATATAAAGGTAAGAAATTTACTGCAACAACATACAAATCCTTTGGTCATTATTCCATCACAGATTATTCTAAAATATATTCCAAAAATTATTTGTGAGACTACAAACATAAGACAGATCTTTACACAAGTACACATCTCATCCAATATTGGTATACGAAATAGCTAAGGAAATATAAGTGTCATAAAAGCATTACAGTATTAAGACACATTAAGAACTTCAAATGTCAGATCTAGGTTTAGTTGATGTTTAACAATCAGCCCAAA